TGGAGTGTGTGTGTGGGGTGGTCCTGCTGTGATGTGTGTGTTGTGTGTGTGTGTGTGTGTGTGTGCTGTGTGGCGTGTGCGGTGTGATGAGTGAGCTCGTCTGTGATTTAACAATAGGCCCAAATTGGCTTTTTACGAGAAATAACATTCGAAAATTGTTTGAACTGAGATCACCACCTCACCAAGGGCTTGGTAAAGCGCGCGCGCGCGAGAGAGAATCTATAACGGCCAGGATTCAGCTGGGGGTCGCCGATATAGGAGCGAGGCCTCAATCAGTACCGTACATAAAAAAAAAAATAAAATCCATAGCTCTCCTCTTTCCGCCCAGCCGAACGCCAGCTTCCGCCACTGGCAAATCCGCATCTTCGCCCGCAATCTCACCGCATAAGAAAACCCCACCATACAAAACGCCGCATGTCTAATCACATAATCAAAGATGTATGTCCCGGGCATAATCAAGTGATTTTTTGCCCGCGTTTTCCGGAGGGTCTACATTACATCACGAACCATTCACATAGAAGGGGTGTAGCAGGAGCCTTGAAATAACTTTGGAGAAAATAAGTTTAAGTGAATTGTAGTTTAGGTGACGTACACTATCATAACGTCTATTAACTGTTAATTCTTGATGACATGATGAAAGGTTACTAAACATTCTCTTCTTCTCATGTTCTAAATTGTTTGGGCCCGTGGGTGAGGGTGTTTGGGGTGGGCCCATAGGGTGGCCGCCAGGATTCAGCTGGGGTGGCCGGGCAGCTCGCGGCACCCCCCAGACAGCTCCGACAGCTGGCAAGATTAAACTGGTCGGCCTTTAAAATTGGGCTTACTGACATACACTCAACCCTGTGTTGATCCGACGCTTTATTCATACAAAGACAATATCTTTATTGTCGAAAGAAAATAACATATATAGAGATGGATGGATCTCCTGGAGGGAACCCACATCAATCCTCGGTCCATTATGACGTCTATTCCTCAATACTATTATCATTAAAACACGCAACTTATCCAGAAAAGCATAATTGTCATACATAGATGGATAACACAACAACCATACCATTCCACAACTTCACAAAAACATTAATTAACTTATATCAATTTCACCACATCTGTCTTTTGCTCTCTTATTTTTCAAAATCGCTTTTATATCCGTGTGATCTGATCATGATCTGAGTCACACAGGGTTTCCCCACACAGAGCTATACGCTTGGACGTGCACAGACAACAACAAAGCGTATCATTAAGCGGCCGCCCAAGTATATTAACGGGCAGCGGTATATTTCGCACGACCATTTACAGATTATTTGTTTTCTTGCTTTTATAAGTTTTTTTTTTGTATTCTGTCCTTGACCAGCACCGACCCGATCTGCGATTGATCTAACTTGGTGAGCAATGTCCCTCGCTTCTGCTGCTGATCCTCGCCTGCCTTCTGGCCTGCTTAAGGGCCTGCCCCTCACCACCAGGTGACTGGTGTCCACATGAGATGTGGACGCCCGCGACATGGCCACATGTCCATCACAGATCTACATGAAAAAGCCCTTGAGTTGGTCTCTGTGTGTGCATTCAGCTCGGAATACCTAAGCGCTACAGGTGAGGGTAAAAGGACTCGCTCTGAGTTTTAGCATACGTTACACCCCCAGTCTAAGTTATGTATACCATTCAAATATGTAACGAATGACCAACACACTAACAACATATGCTTTCTGGGATACAGTTGTGTGTTTTTACCTATAATACAGTACTGAAATACTCGTCCATAACTGCAGGGATGATGTGGTCCCTCCGAGATCCATCCATCGTCTTAGTACTTGGGTTATTTTCTTTTCGAACATAAAGACTATGTCTTTGTATGAAGTAAAGGTCTAACAGCAGGTTGGTCCTTGTTTCAGTAAAGTGCGCAATTTTAAACCACCCTTTAAATCTTGCCAGTGCGAGCTGGGGGTGGCGGAGTGGCCAGGGCCACCCCACAAGGCTGAATCCTGGCCACCCCTATTGCCACCCCAAAACCACCGCTCACCAGCGGGGCGCCATAACCAATTTTTAGAAAGGCATTAAGAAAGGAAAATGTTAGTACTTTCATCATTCCATGCAGAATTACTTAACAGGAACGTTATTGATAATGGTAGCGCTCACTAAACTAGCAATTCATCCCTTAACTTATTTTCTTCAAGTATTTTCCAAGCCTCTGTTCACCCCCTTCTGTTGTAATGTTCTATGTAATGTAGACCCTCCCGAAAAACGCGGGCAAAAATCCTTGATTATGCGGGCTAAAATCCTTGATTATGCGGGCTAAAATCCTTTTCACACATTAATTGTAAATTAGTTTACTTTTTGTAAACTACAACGCTCCAGCTGAGTAGCGTGATAACTTCTAAGGAAACCTATATTATCTAGATAAAATACTCTCACTCGTCAGATTATTAAGTGCACCAAGCTAGAACTCATGCAATGTGTAAATTAAGATAATATAATAATTACTTTATTCATCCCAATTTGGTAAATGTTTTTGTCACAGCAGCATGTAAACAAGACATTGCACATAATGTCAAAATTAAAAAGAGAAGAAAATAAACAAACATAAACATAACAGAAACATCTGAAAATAGAAAATAAACCAGAACTAAAAAGTAAAATATATACATATTGACAGTGAAAGATATATATCTGAAGACTATATTTCAAGAGATATACACTATGAAGGGCCAACTTACAGCTAACAACAATAAAAAGGATATTATTAACATTGAGTGTGCAAGAAATACAAAAAATAATTAAATATAAGTGTACAATGTAAAGTATAAAGACACTATATACAAATGGATGAAAACACCTAGTGAAACGATGCAACACAATTCAACAGCCTTGCTAAAACTACCTCATTTTAAAACACTATAAAGATTACCATTTTGAGTTTCAAGAAAGACTAAACATTAAAACCTTACAGGTAGTAAATATGGCTGGGGTGGTATATTGCATCAGTTTGAGCAAGTTCTACACACAGCAAGTGCTGAAAACTAAAGTTCTGATACAATCAATAACAGACTGTTAACATGTGATGACAGTTATCACATCAGCTACAAAAAGACAGTCTTATCTCTAACATGTACTGACTCTTATAACACGTGACGGAGTCCACTGACAGCCTCATTAGCTTGATAAACGTTGATATGTTTAAGCAGATAGTAGGAGTTATGATACACTGTTAACTTATTGGTATTGGGTTAAATGTAAGGGACAAAGTGCAGACCTTACTGTAACGTTAACCATTCACTAAAGCTAATGTTAACACAGATAGTAACAAGTAAGTTAGCCAGCTAGCTAGCTGTTAGCATCTTGTTGACGATACAATCGTAAATGACATCGACATTTCTTGTAAATAAACTGTCTAAATTATCTATTTTAACTTCCTTTAAACTAAGTTAGAAACACTTTCCATCGCTGCCCTTGCGTATTGACTGTCAACCAAAAACACAGTGTCCTCTCCAGCCACCTGACCCCCCTTTACTTACCAGATATGTGCTTTGGCGTTTAGGTTCCGACACCGTTTCCCTGTGACTTTTATTCCAAATGTGATATGAGCTTGTCTGTCGAAGGAGAAGCGCTAATTGCTGTCTTTGAAAGTAAAAGCCGCATTTCAGTGTTACCAACATCGGCGCCATGTTGCTGCTGAAGGAGGAAGGCGGTTAGTCAACACGCCGGATACGTCATATCCGGTTTCCACCAACCCTGTGTGCTAGCGGACAAGCAGCTTTAGTCCACTCTACGTTACATTTTGAGGACTTATCTGCCGCTACTTTAATATTGACACGACGGGATTGAGTATCTAAAAGGTTGGTGAATGTGCTGCTAAAGGTCAGTCTACGCGGTAGCTGCGTGACTCGGATAGTTTTACTTCAAAACAGCAGCTTAAGCTAAAGGAAGAACACGTTGTCTTCTTTGTCACGCACACAGCGGTTAAACTGGGTCACTCGGTCAAGAATCGGTATTTAACTTTATCACATTTTAGGAAAGGAAACCCCTTGATCTCGCACTCAGGATGCCTTGCCACAATCAACAGCTGAACAATGTCAACAGTGGTCAGGAGCACCCAATGAAGCAAGTGCGATTTGCAAACAACAGCAGCAGCAGCAGCAGTAGTGTGCTACCCACCTCTGAAGCCTCTGATGGCAGCATACAGACTGACAGCAGCCAGGAAACTGTGGGACCTCAGCTCAAACTGCTCCCTCTCAATGACCAGATCCGGGAGTTACAGACCATAATCAGAGACAAGTGAGTCCCTACTCCTATCTTAACCAAAGTACAGACCACAGCAGATCTGTTGTGTTAAAAATCAAAATAGTTATTATGCTACACTTTTTTGAATTGCCATTTTTCCTAATTTAAATGCAGCCCTGAAGTGCTTTACAACAAAGGGAAATACAAATAATGGACATGACATAGTTAAAATAAGATTGGAAATTGGATTTGAAAAATATAAGTGACATAAGTTGCAAAATAAACTCACACACAATAATAACGGTACACATTACGTTTAAAAAGGGATCAATATTTGTAGCATGCACATATAAGTCATAAAAACCGCAGCTGAATCAAACTTCCATTAACACATCAACACCAAATATGATAGGATGATTGTTGGAAAAAAAATAGATAAATCAAGGTTCAAGGCTTTTATTGTTATATTTCGTACATAACTACATTGTTATGTCGATGAAAATCTTAGGTCACAGGCTGAAAACTGAAAAAAATAGTGCAAGTAAATACAATAAAATAGAATAGAAGTAGTGCCATAAGAGTCTATATACAAGTAATAATTCATTTGTAAGTTGCAAACAGGTGAATTTTATGGATGTTCTTGTTAATGTATTATATTATGAATAAACCTCAAGACAGGGTGGGAAAAATGATCCCAATAACTTCCACACAGTGAGGTTAAGTATTCATTTTGGACGAGCTCAGTGAGATAGGATCAGTACACAGTACAAATGCATACATGTATGTATCATAAGAGGAGGGATACAGTAGGTTTGGTGCATTTATAGTCAAAAACTACATTGAGTACTTAGTTTGTAACTAAGTATTTACATTTTCATTTTCAGGACAACCAGCAGAGGAGACTTTGTGTTTTGTGCTGATCGACTGGTAAGCTTGGGACTTAATACACCATATGTAATGTGTATAAGCTGCAAGCTCTGAGCTTTTTCTTCTTCAAATAACAGATCAGACTAGTAGTTGAAGAGGGTTTGAATCAGCTCCCCTACTCGGAGTGCACTGTGACCACGCCAACAGGTGAGGGTCTCTTTCTCTCATAACAAAGTTAACGTCTAGGTTCAGACACAGAATCTGAGCTCCGACACTTCTATTAATCCATGTAAAAGCTATCCAATTATAACAATTAAAAAAAATAAGTGGGCTCACTTCCTGTGTTTTACCTCTAGCCTGTGTGACTACCAGGCTTATTCAGCTCGGCTACATTTGTGAATGTTCCCACTTCATTTTCCCCCTCAGGGTACAAGTATGAAGGTGTCAAGTTTGAAAGAGGCAACTGTGGAGTCAGCATAATGAGGAGTGGTAAGTTACACCTGTCGTGTCACACCCACCAAAATTACAGCCCCTCCTTTGTAGGTGCATTTATCATGTCTTCCATGCATATGTGATTTGTGCCAACTTGCTGTATATCCAGTCCTGCACGTATTCATCCGTTCATGGGAAGTGTGTGCTCAGGATCATTTCATTTGTATAAGTTATTTTTTCTAGACATGAAACTGATTGATCATTTTAATACAATAGAATAATATTACAGGTCCATGCTGTACTTTGCAGAACAGGTTCTCTGAAGGAATCACTGTCACCGACTCACTTCCTCTCTCTCTCAGATTTAATGAGACTGTCAAAAGCCAAACCTATATTATCCTTTTATGAAAGTAATTCTAGGGCAGGAATATATAAATTATAAGGGTTGGACAATTATTTTAGTTAAATCTTTCAAGCAACACACATTAGCTGCAGTGTATGACGCAGATCGAAACACATCCACCTATTGTTTTCTATCTAGTCTACACAGCGCTGGCATCTTGACACGTCAATATTCATACATAATTACGTATCAGAATACAGGATGTCCTATTTTTTTTTAACAGCATTCTAGAAAAATAGGAACTTACGGCTAATGTGCTTTTTTGTTCTTTATAGGCAGCACGCATTGATGTAAATAATATTTTAAAAGTGCATTTTAATGTATTTTTTTTACATCGTCCATTCATTTTACTGTGCTGTTTTGTAGAGACATAAGCACACACAGTGTAGTTTGTGAGACATACACAATTTAGACACATTTTTGATTTTCATCAGTGTTGTTCATTTTGCCTACTTGGCAATCGCACTTGCAGAGCCGAGATGAACGGAGGGAAATCTGGACTACTGTAAGTATTGTGATTTCATACAGTATTATGAAGTCCAACTCAAAATTGAGTTGGACTTGGGTTATACACACATCACATATTGTGAAATTAATGCTGGACCACTGGCTCTAAATCAATAAATTCATCAAAATGAACAACATCCTCTGAGCAAGATGCATTGTGTGTCTCACCACAGGTGAGGCCATGGAGCAGGGTCTCCGGGACTGCTGCCGCTCCATCCGCATTGGCAAGATCCTCATCCAGAGTGATGAGGAGACACAGAAAGCCAAGGTCTTCTATGCCAAGTTCCCCCCTGATGTGTACAGAAGAAAAGTGCTGCTCATGTACCCTATCCTTAGTAAGTAACACAGGGCTGAGTGCAGTTAATCTCACTGATGATGACTCCAGTTAACCGCCCTCGGCAGCACATAAATGTCAAGAGATGTCCATTTTTGTGCAAATGTAAAAACGGTTTCATGTATTTATTCATTTTGAGAAATCTCCCTTGAGTTGACCTTCACCGGCAAGTCTCTGCATTTCCACATCATACCAGCCCATTCACACTGTTCTGATAATTATAGCTCTTACGGGGGAAATTATACACTGCCCGGGAGATAGCCACCAAGCTGCTGAATAGCATAATGAGAGCCAACAAAAATAGGATCTTAATAGCCCTGGTTTCCCAATGTCAGAAAGCAGCATTTTTATGCTAAAATAATGGTCACTAATCCAGGTTGAATGTATGTTTTATTATCTCAGAACATATGGTTACACTGATGCAGATAACAGGGTCAGGAATGAAATGCTACATAGTGCTCAGACTCAGTACCTAGAGAGGAGATGCTAACATAATGCAGCAGTTACTTGCCAACAGCCAGATTCTAACCCATACACAATCAAACATTGTTTACTGTATATTTTTGACGTTTTTAATTGTGTTTATTCATTGTATGTACAAGTGCTGTACTTGGGAGAAGCCCCCTAGTTTTGTTCATGTCCTTCTTTTTATGTTATCATGTGGCATTATGATACAGATACAATGTACAGTTGATCGATCGAGCATGTTTCAATTTAAGAGAGTCTTTTGTATTTAATACCAAGTTATTTTTATATTTGTCAATTTCAAAATACAGGACAAAACCTCTCCCCTGCTGGTGGTTATAAAATAACAAGTGCACACACAAATAGCAATAACATTACATTGTGTTGGCTTCAATTTACACATTGTTTCTGAAACTAAAATGACATTGTAAACATTTGAATATCCGCCGCTGTTAAACCCTACATTTTCTGTGTCTGCAGGCACCGGCAACACTGTGATCGAGGCGGTGAGAGTGCTGATCGAGCACGGAGTCCAGCCCAGACATATTATCCTCCTCAGCCTTTTCTCCACACCTCACGGTATGCCACCACTGCCAGTTCACTCCAACTGCAGCTTACCACCAATTTACTTTTGTTTACCCACCAGATCACACACAGTTTTTCCTCCATCCTTCTCTCCTGCTGCATCATTATACTGCTGGTAACCACAATGCAGTTTGGTGGCACTGCTGATCTGACGCAGCCGTATGAGTGAGCAGAGCAGCAGATCTTTTTTAAATTAGACCACAAATAGGACTAGCGGTAGTTCTCCCCAATGACTACTTGCCTGATTATAATGGCATTTAATGTGGATATGTGTTGTTTTCAGGACATTTTGTTATGTTTAACCCTTGTGAGCTTTGGTTCTACATAAGGCCAAAATATACACACAAAGAAAGAAGCCCATGTTAACATAACATATTAGCCAATCCTACTGTTAATATGCTGAGAGGGTAATGTAAGGAATTGGCGCAATGACCTTTAGAATTATTTATTTTTATACTCAAATAGATATGATTCCCTAGTCGAATATGTTTTCAGACTTACTGCAAATGTGTTTTTGGGAGTCTTATTCAATGTTTAGGAGCTGATGAAAAATAGGCAACTTTTTTTTGTTTTATGAGAGACTTGTTGTGTGAACCATACTGCTAGCTGTGGCTCAGGGTAAAATGTTTTTGGGCAATTCTCTTTGTTCGTTATGACATTTACAGCATTTTAATATCAATTCAAATACATTTAGCAAAGCTGTGCAGCATTTGAGGAAATCATAAAAGTCAGGATTAGTCCTCTGGCTACAAATAAATGGTAAATGCATGTATGCTTGTCCTCCCCTCTGTCTCCCCCTTTCAACACTCACTCTAAAATAAAAGCTACTCTGGCCCAAAAAATTATAAGTTTGACCTTTGCTGTTAGTTTCTCAGGTTTGCCTTGTATTAATGCAATACATTTTACTTTTTATTTCTTAGGAGCCAAATCTATTATCCAGGAGTTCCCTGATATCACCATCTTGACCACGGAGGTCCACCCGGTGGCTCCGACACATTTTGGCCAGAGGTACTTTGGCACCGACTGAACCGGGGACAACATGAGGAACATGACCTACAAATAGTTTTGAGTATATTTTGTCTTGTTTATTTAAATTTCTCTCATGTTCTCCTTGTTGTGCCAAATAATGCTACCCTATCTCCAAAGTTCCTAAACTGATACAAAATGATTAATCTGAGAGACTGTATTTATTATTGTTGCTTTTTTTTCTTGCTGTGTATCCTCATGCTAAAGAAAGAGAACATCAGTGAACTGTATAAAGAGTTGGATCATTTTATTTTGCATGTTACAACAACCGATGGAAAATAAAGAAATTTATATTTGTTAAAAGACAGAACAGCAAATGAAACAGTTTCAGTACTTTCAATGGTTTAGAGGTGTTGAAATAAGGAAGCGCCACAATCACATACTATACAAAGTAAAGATATAAAAAGGGACCACACTGCATCTGCTCTAGCAGTATTGAACTCTATCATTTGTCATCTTATAAATACCACGTATCCTACTATTTGATAAAAGCAAATTGCTTCAATAGTTTATTTTAAGAGTCACTTGATGGAGCAACATATGCAGACACTGCCTGCCGCAGTAATGAATCCGTAAACTCAATACACAGGAAGAGAAACTGAAGATTATAACAATGAATAGACACGAGACGACATGAAACACTCAACATCCACATCTTTCCTAGAGTTTATACATGCTTTCAGACAATGAGTTGTACCTCATATAATGTATGTTATATTGTGAATTTCTCAGATATGAGCAGCATTTTATTTGGCTTTCCCAACATAGTAGTGAAGCAAGTTAAAGTGTCAAGATCAAACAGTATCAAGGTTTGATAAAGGCCAAACTTTTGAATTGTACTAAAATGGACGTACTCACTAACAGAAGTTTTTTTTAACTAAGTTTGCTGGCTAAATATAAATACACAATAAATACCATAAACCAACAGTTTCCACCAGGAGGATCTGTTCCATTACTATTAAAATGTCAAAATACATTAACGCAGGTAGAAAACCATTTGGAACATCACATTGCAGAAGATCGCGTTCCTCTACCAACCAGTGGATGAGGACCAGTCGATATATATATATATATGTACACTTATCTGCATGTTTCAAGAGATCAAAAGTCCAAGCAGACATAGAACCTATAAATTATTTTGTACCCATGATGAAAGTTAATTTCACTTTCCTATAACTTCCACACAGAAGTGTTACTGCACTAGGGAAGGCTGGTATGGTAGAAAGATTGTGATTGTTTTTAAATAAAAAGTCTATCACAGTTTGTTTTTGTATGCTCATCCCCGGCATTGGACTGAAACCCATCACTCGATTTCTTTAGAGCAATGTATCCAACATAATTTAAGCAATGATACACGGTATATGGACCCCACTTAAGAATTTTAAACATATTACGTTTGCCATAATACATATTGAGCTGTAACAGTGAATTAACACTTCAAATATACAGCAGTTTAGTTTTTAATACCCTTACCAGTCTGATCAGACATCAATAATGTCATATTTAGCAAATAACATTAATGCTGAGATTCTCTACATAAGCACAATATGAGTTTTCTCGTAAATAGGTGCCTGAAACGTTGACAGTCTATTCACAAGCAGGGAGCTGAATACATTCTTAGAAGAAAAGGAGTCCGAAAAACACAAAAATTAATATATTAATAAGGCGGAGGTTAAGTCAGGTAATATAATACTCTTATTTGCATTAAAAAAAAAAGTAAGATATCATGGTAATATTCTGCAAAGCTCAAACTGGTAGAGGCCAGACAACTGAATCACTACAAGAGACCTGCAGCATCATAGGTGTTAAGTTAGAGCCCCCCACCCACCCAGCACAGACACTGGAAACCCACGACCCAACAATAACACAGAGGCATGTAAAGCAGTACAGAGCTAGACAGAAGCTCCCCAATTAACACTTATTTATAATCCCACAAAGGCCATTGTTTTGTGATGAACAACCGGAGGGAAATATATATATATATATATATATATATATATATATATATATATATATATATACGACCCATGGTAATAAATACAGCCGTCTTTTTGTATACAAGGTAATATTTGACAAGTTTTGGTCTGAACCAAACTGATCCTGTTGTACTGCTGAGAGGAGAGGTGAAGCTACTGGTTGCCCATTGAGTTCCTCTGTTCATCAATATGTAAAACAGATGGGGACAAGTGGCAATAACAATGCAAATGCACTTTTAATCCACACGTTTGGCCTCCTTCAGGATTTGTTCAGTGTCTGAAGGTCCACATGATATGGAATGCGTTTGCCACAGTGTGTGTGATATGAATCTACATCCTCTGAACCAGTGTATTTTGTCCTTACTTTACATTACTATTCCTCCATCTCTATGGTAACCAAAGGGTCATGGTCCTCAACTAGAATGAAAGAAGAAGAAAAAAGAAGAGATTTCAGCGTGGATACACGAGTCAACATGGACTGTGACCACCAGGTGGAGCAGAACCGTTTGGTTGGAATGCAAACTGCTGTGCAGGGGAATATTTGGGCCTCCAAGTTTGAGCACAAACATATTTGTTTCTGCTTTGTTTAACAATCACGTCTCCAAGGTGACAAAGCGTGTGTTATTTACCATTTATGGAAGGTGCTGGAATGTGACTTTATACAGAAATACTTAGTCGTGTGCCCATTACTGTGACTGGAAAGCTGAGTTTTGGCCATTACAGGGACTAACTATTTAGACTTCTGTAGAAACATCTGAAAACCATTTTTGATGCATAACTTGTTATATTTGTACATTTACTAAAGCTTGACACACTCAAATGATATAAAACATCAGTACACACAATGAATGCAAAAAGTGACTGATATCCTTTTTAGGATTTTAAAATGCAGTTTGTTTTCTGGGAATTGGAAAGATAATGTGGAAATATGATATGACAAAGTTAAAGTGACTCACCCAGGCTTCCCTCAGAGCCATCATCAGACTCCTCCCACAGGTCCTCATTAGCTAATAAGGGGTTGTGGGACTCAGAACTGCGATTCTTCAAGGGGAAGTAGTGGCCGTTCCCTTGGCTGACGTTTACAGTGTGCAAAAGAAAAGGGAAGCTTAGTTAGGAGCCGTGGCCATCACTCCATCAACTGATCTAATCCTTCATAGAAAATGTTAGAAAATGAAATGCTGCTACATGTAAAAACAACTTTGATTCTGCGGACTGACTCTCCAAAAAATCCCAAGTGGTTTTTACAACTAATTCATATTATCCCTCCTATAAACTATCCAAATATATAATTGATTATTTCGACTAAAGTTACCTGTATGTTGTTTGATATTATTGTTTGCTATAACTATATTTGATTTTTACTGCACATTTCTTTCATAGCTCAAATTCAAAACATTTATAAAAAAGCGTCTTACAGTAAGTAAACTAATTATGCATCCTAACTTGTTTCCTCATGCCAACAAACTCACCCAGTGAAAACCGGGATGAACCACAGCCTTCGATCCTCTCCAAACACTTGCTGCAGATTTCTACGTATGCCAACATTAAAGCCATTTCTGTCTGGTCCACTGACAAAAACTGGAGCTGTGAAAGCCTCTAAGAAAAGGAAAAAGAATCAGAAAGTGGTTTAAATTCTCCATTATCCAAATATCTATTTGAACAAAGCTCCTACATTTATGAGATGATGAGAGCAGCTTCATGAGAAGGATCTAAAGGGGTTCCATTCTCCAATAAATACGTTAATCCTCACCTAAAGTGGATCGGTTCTTGGAGACCAACCAACAGTGGTAGCCAAAGAGGAACATGAGACTGACGAAGAACATGAGCGCCACAAACATGAGGAAGAGGACATGGAACTTTGCAGGTCCATTTGGCAAGTCCCCCTGGAAGAGAGAAACAGGAGAACGAGAAACTTGAGAAAATGGGCTTAAAAAGGTTTTACTCAATACACTTGGTTATCTGTTCCTGTGGAATTGCAGTAGTGCTGACTGTGTGCAACACAAATATGTGATATGACTCCATTATGATCACCAGTGATAATTTAGACTTATGACACTCACCACCCAGAATTTAAGGAAATACTGAAAGACTGTAGCTGCAATGAATACACAATACACCATGGAGTAGGCCAGGAAAAGCAGGAAAAACTTGTAGTTGGCAAAGCCCACACAGTTGTTCACCCTAAAATAAAAAGAAATGATGCTTTCAGAGCAAAACAATGATACATACATTCCTCAAAAATAGGGAAATACAGGCAAAAGTTACTTACCAGGGACAGTGATGGTCCATCTTCAATACACATCTTTGAAAGAAAAATATTGTTTTAATGCATATCATTTTGACAGCATTGCAGCTTAAGCAATTAGTACCTTAAATCAAATCATAAATATCATACTTTTGATGCAACCTTCTTTAACAGTTTTCTGTTATTTTACTGATGCCTTTTGGTAAACATTTGATCTACACTAATTGATCATCAGGATATTTTCTCTGAGATATTGTGTGCCAACAAAGCAACACCTTGTAATTACCACCACAGTCCAAGGCCAACAAATATAATCTTGCCTCTCGTAATCTCTCTAGTTGAATGAATTGAGGAGGAAAGAGTGACTTACGTTTCACAAACTGAGCAGTGGTGACAGCGGTCAGGCTTCAGAACCTGGCAGCGGTCGCAGAACCTGATAGCTGGAGACAACAGGATGGCCAGTTGAATAAAGGACATTTGAGCTGAGCGTACCCTTCACTTGCTTCCTTTAGTCTACAACTTAGTCTTAGCAATCAGCACTAATGAAAGAGATGCATTGGCTGATTACTTTGGATGAGGCCTAATTCCCCTAGACTACTTATTTTCAACGCACACAAGATTATGTGCGAGCTGACTGTGCCTAAAATACCTGCCTTGTGAATCCTTTTTTGACATACGGCACAGAAGGGGTTAATACCATATGAAATGATATTACTGCAGAAGAAAAAATGTGAATTAAATGAAAGCACAAGTTACCTCCAGAATGAGCTCGACTGAAGATGGGCAGTTTCTTTGCAATCTCAACCAGGATTTGTTTCTGAGCATCTGGTCTCTCTTCAAATTCGTATCTTTGCTTGTCCGAGTATGACAGCTGAAACTAAAGCAACAAACATGCATCATTATCACATTTATATTACAGACTCGATAAATGGTCAAATCAATCCTAGCTGGATGTTCAGCCTGGCAGCTTTAACTGGGCAGGATACCTTTTTGCATGGTGAGGCAGGAGGGGTAAAAATGGACTTCCAGTAGGTCCAGGAGAACATCACAAAGCAAACATGAAATACCAGTAGATAGGCCACTGCAAAA